GTATTAATGTTTAGGAGGTGTTAGTAATTAGAGACGGTACTTGGACGACGATAAGCGGAAACTATTCGTTTCAAAAAGAAATCCGCAATTTGTACTAATTTCTTTTGCATAGCTCACCAAAATGGGGTTTACAACACAAAGCACTTAGTTGTCGATCTAGACTGCTAACAAATAGCTGAAAATCAGGAATCTTTCTCTATTTAGGTGAAGCACTATTCAAATTTCGTTAGCTTTATAGAGTATTTAAACTTTTGCATTATAAGGCTCAAGTATGCTATTTCTTGAAAAATAGACTTCCACTAGATTGCCCTTAACTCGGGATTTTACGCAACTAAATAAGTAAATGTCGCAAAGAGCTCAAGCAGTGACTTTTCAGGACCTACCTTCGGATTGAAAAAAAAAACATTTCTAAGCTGAAAAGTCTAGTAAAAAACTCACCACATCAACCAGTTGCTGAAGAATAAGCCTAAGATTCACCCGAATTGGTTCCGAATGATTTTGGACGGGCCTCTCAATTGGATCATAGTTATTTTTGAGATCTTGTATTAATCGAAATTCGTCTTCGCTTCCTATCACGGCTCCCATCATATGTACATATAGACAAATAAATAGTGAATCGATCGAATGCATAGACTGGAAGTTGTCCCTAGAATTGACGTGCGCATCGACTTGCTATGTACATATCTCAGGTGGATGTATCGAAGTGCAGAACGAGAGCAGAACAACAAAAGTGCTATGGTTTGCTAGTTTTCAAACAAACACATGATTTCTCGATGAGATGAGGCAAAAACATCGCTCTCGAAAAATAAATGCAGCTAATTAAACAATGATAGCGGAAAACATGCTCTTTGCTGCAAAAAAAAAGGCTCTTTACGTTCTGTGATGGCTATTATCGAGAACATAGGAGGAGAACTGAAGTTTAAAACAATGGTAAACAGCGCGTCTCAAGATATTCATGCAACTGACGTACTTCCCTGACTTTTTTCTCTTCGGGTTTAAATGCTATGATGATTGCAATGCATGGATTGCTTCCAGTCAAGAGAGGCACAGATACTTTAGCAGGAAATTCTCAAATTTTCTGAAACCTGCTTCAAAACTGACACATTATTCAATTAAGAAAATTCCTTCTGCAGAGTTACAGTGATGCAGCATTATCATAGCAATAGCTTAAAATTGGGAAGGATTGTCGTAAATTAGAAATTAAGGTCCTGTAAAAGTTAATTTGACCGATACACTATATGTCGGTAGAATCAATTATCAGTCTAAACATTGCTTAGTACTTCGGATCTTTTGCTATACAGAAGATAGATTTCCAGTCCAGTAC